TCACACGTGCAGTTCGTGCACCTGGAGCTCGGACACCCATCCGACGAAGCTCACCCAGTGAGGCATTCGCTGCGCCTGGGCTTCGATCTCTGGCGATGCGGTGTCCAGGTGCGTCGCCCACACGTCCATCCGCAGGTCGCCCGGATGCACAGCCAAGGTAAAGTTAAAAGCTTCGGATCTTCCGCGGGTTGGGTTTGTCCCGCCTTCGTTGAAGAGCACCCAGTAACAGTCACAGTCGGGTCGAACTGGCGGAAGCTCATCTGGCAAGCTGCTATCACTGACGTCATGATTGCTGGTGGCTATGCCTGCGTTCATGCCGAAAGACCACGCCTTAACAAGCGCCGACGGGCCGATTGCCATCATTATATGCGGGCCGCCCGCTACAGAAACGGACAGCTCCTTGTGGCCAGATGTGGATTTGTTCAGGGCCGTGATTTGCACTCCCAGCCGATTGGGCAAAGAAGGCGGTAATTTGGGTGCCCATACGCCCTTGCTAACAAACAGCTTGAGTGGCAAAGGATGGGGTACCTCTCCGTACACGCCTGCAGAGTCGTCAGCAGGCTCAGAACCTCGTGGTAGCCCAAAGGGAGCGTGATCCCGAATGGTTGCGACGCCATTCCAATCCATTGCTACTGTCCACAGTCCGCTTTCCATTGGTGTGTACCGCTGCTTCCCATGGACAACCGTTCCCCCACTGCCGACTGGGTCAACGAAATTCCAATCCGTCTTCGACCGCGATGTATCTTGCATGTACAACCGCTTCGGGCGATCATGACTGTAGGGGAACGTAAACAACGCGAGAACAAATCCAATGCATACCGTGATGACGAGGAAAAGGCCACCACGCTTCCTCGGAAAAGAAAAGGAATATCTTGCAGAGAACACTAAAGCCAAGCCAACGATGAGCCCGTACGCAGCACCCACGATGATATCCCCGGGTATTAGAGTACCACTTCGCATACTCAGTGGGCAGACTAACTCAACAGCCAACACAAAGCACTGAGCATGCACGAGCCACGGTACAACGAACCCAGCTACTCGCAGAATTGGTTCCACCGTCGTTGGCACAAAAAACGCACATACGTCACCCAAAAGTGGAATCACACTCCAAATGAAGAATAAGTAAGATGCAGGGACAGTGACTGGGTGATAGCAAAATACCGTACAGGCCACGGACGCCAAGAGTGTGGACGCCGATGACATGTCAGTTGATGTTGCTTCATTGCCAGAACCGTTTGAGACTGGAGAGCGCAGCAAAGCCATTAGAAAACCACCCATTGCCAGGGGCATGCAACAGAGGAATGATATCTCGGGTCGCGCTGACGCAACCAAGGAGCCAGGTGTACAGGACATCAGCAGCGCTCCCGCAAGCGCCGCTGCGATGGCCGCTGCAAACGACGCAAGGAGGCGCCCAGAAGCAAACATCACTGCAGCACGCCTGCGGAAGTCCCAATAAAGCAGGATCAGACGATGATACATACTATTGCTTCAAAAGAATGCCATGTTTCGTCGACGTTGATGTTCGGGGCCCACCCAGCAAACCCCCGAATTGCAACAGGTCCCAGGGGCAATCGGGAGACAAGGAACTTCCGTGGGACACCTTCTGACAGGTCGACGTCTTGTTTGAAATACCAACTGCCGCAAAAATACGTGACATGCTCTTCCCGGGATATTTAACAACTCGAAAATACATGTCAATAGTGGGCTGGTTTGGGACCTCCACTATCTAGTAAAGCTCGTAACCAAGATAAGCCACGGTGTGGAAAAAACAATTCGCCCAGCCTTCTCGTGAAACAAATCCGCCACCGAGCTTGCAAGATCAAAGACCGACCCCAGACGGCTGCAAGAAGCCCGAAGAATAGCCCAAGACACCCCAACGACCCCTGCAGGTCCCCCAGCTGCCCCCCAAAGGCACAGAGATGCCACAGGGAACCCCGAAGAGTCGCTCAGAGAGGTCCTCAGCGAGGGCCGAAGAGGTCAATAACCATCTCAAGCCTGAGATATGCTTGCGTTGCTAGCACACCCCGCCAACTTGCCACCACACTCGCCACCGCGCCTGCGCGGTGTGGGTTCGTCAGAACGCAAGGGGCTGCCCTGCAGGGCCCCTGTAATCTTCCAAGGGCCCCCCCCTCTCCCAGCGCCTCCCCTGACACCCGGCGATTTGTTTTTGTGTCTCAGTCCGCGGCCCCAGCCATCGGGAGCCGTTGCCTGACGGTCCTGGAGCCTGGCGAGGGCCCCCAGAGGCCGAAGACCTCCCGCCGTGCTAAGGTGTTCTTTCCGCAGCGAGGAGAGGGCGGAGGCTCCTCGACCCCTCGAGGGCCCCGAAGTCCCGACATTGTCCCTGAGGGCTGGGCCTACGTCTTCATGCGGGGACGGCAAGCGACCACAACCACATCGAGGACACGCCCTGGGGGATGCCCTGCGCATGCCCACAGATCGTCGGAGCACCGAGACCAGCTGCGCACTGCTTGCGGTCGACGTGGCGTCCCAGGACGGCCGAGTCGACCACAACCACGACCGAGGTGCTCATGGCGAGGTCGGTGGGTACTCCCCCGAGGGGCCCTCCCGAAAAATCCTCGTAGTTGTGGTTGTGGCTCCTTGTTTCGGGGAGACGTAAGACTCGGGTTAGGGGGACTCGGCCAGCAGGAAGATGACGAGACCCAATCTGAAATCTGACGCGGGCTGCCGCTGCAAACGTCCCACGAAAAGTGGACCGTCAAAATCCAGGACGGGCCCGTCAAAAAGCGTCGGCAGATCCGAGCTCCCGCGCGCTCGAGCCCTACGCTCCCCCGACTGTTGCGCCCGGATGCTAAATCCCCTGGGTCCGAAAACGGGCCCCGGCGGCCCAAGACACCTCAGACCGCCTGGATTGCACAAATCGGGCCGCCGAAGCTCCGGGGACTCCACCTCGAGGGCGAGGTCCGCCTTCTTCACGCGCCCCGCGCGCCTGCCGCGCAGAGCCCACGTGGCCGCGACGAGCGCCCCCGCGAGGTGCAGTCGCTGCGCCAGGGGCGCGGGGTACGACACGAACACCGCCCCGGCCAGGTCGAAGAAGACGGCGGCCTCGTCCCTCTGGGCGCCTCGCGGGGGAGGCCCTCCTCCTCCTCCTCCTCCTCCTCCTCCTCCTCCTCCTTTTCCACCTCCTCCTCCTCCTCCTCCTCCTTTTCCACCTCCTCCTCCTCCTCCTCCGCCTCCTCCTTTTCCACCTCCTCCTCCTCCTCCTCCTCCTCCTCCTCCTCCTCCTCCGCCTCCTCCTCCTCCTCCGCCTCCTCCTCCTCCTCCTCCTGCTCCTCGGGGGGGGGGGGCTCTCCGACGCCGCGGAAAAAAAGTTGCCGCAACACGGGAGCGGTCACCGCGGGCGCCCTGGACCCAAGCCTTCTGCAGCGCTCCTCGAGCCGTGTCGATCCGTGTGGAGGCCCCGGGGCCCAGAACCAGGCGAAGACGCCCCGCGCGAAAAGACCCCTCAGGGCCCAGAACCGGACGAAGACGCCCAGCGCGAAAAGATTGCAACGCCCAGATCCCCCGAACCGGGCGAAGACGCCCAGCGTGAAAAGATTGCAACGCCCAGATCTCGGGGAAGGGCGAGGGAAGAGGAGAGGGGTAGGGGCCTCCCCAACGGCGTCCGAGCAGACGGAGTCAGAGGATAGCGCCGCAGCGGCGATGCGGTGGCGACGTCGGGGTGGAGGAAATCGGGCTCCACATCGAGCCTCATCGCCGATGCATCGGCGATAGGGCGCGATCCTCCGACCCCATCTGCTCGGACCCGGTCCCGCAATCGCTCGGACGTCTCGTACCCGTGCATGTTTGCAGCTTTGTAGGTGTCATGCTTTTCCGCAAGGTGATCCAGGATGCCAGAATGTTACTCCGTATGCGTTATTGCCGCAAGATGATCCAGGATGCTCCTCGATGGTCCTCGCCGAGATAAGGTGCACACGTCCGAGCGATGCCAAGGTCAACGAGCCCCCGAGCGCCCGTGGGGCGTCCCGCGCTCAGGGTGCTCGCCATCCCTCGGACCACCTGGGACGCGGTCTCGCCGTACCGCTGCACCGAGCGGAAGTCCATGTGCGCCAGGTCGTCCTACCAGAGGAACGAAGGCACGGCATTCGAGTAGGGGATCGACTGCAAATCCGATTCACCCCGAGGTCGACTTACCCGTGAAGTCGCCCAACGAGTGCGTGCTTCGAACGCTTCGTAGATCTGCGGAGCGTTCTGAAAATGCCTCGTAGGCCCGGCGAAAACAAATCAATTTCGGGACACATCAACTATGTTGTCGATCTCCTACTCGGGGCGTACGCATGAAGAATATATGGCGAGAGTGGTTCGTGCGTCGGCGCTTGGCCTCCCCAGGTCGTCGGCGCTTCGAAGTCGCGCAGCCAAGGGGGGGTGATGCCCAGCGCCGACCCCCAAGGTTCCGCGCGGAGCTCCGAAAGTGTAGGCTTACGGTCGGACCCAGGACATGAGAACATCCTTCCAGAACGTGAGACCCTCCGCCAGCCAAAACACATAGAATATCCAAGGGTACCCTCCCCCGGGATGCACCAGAGCATGCCACAAGCACGAAGAACACGAGGGCACCCTCCCCGAATCGACCGCGATCTGATGCCTCGGTCCGACCGTGTGCTGTGTTCGTTCTTCTCCGACCTGCGTCGTGTGGTATATCCAGTCGTTGGCCAGCACCGCGAAGTCGACGCCTTCTTCGAGCAGGGGATCGACTACATAACTGATTTACCCCAAGATTGGTCTGCCCGTCGGATCTAATGCGCAGGGTGCTCCGTAGATCTACGGAGCATTCGACGTGCTCGTAGACCCGATGGAAAAAATCAAACTCGGGGCAACTTGATTATGTAGTCGATCGCCCCGTCGACTTCTGGGAGGACAAGTGGTGGGGGCAGAGGGCGCGGCTGTTCTAGGAGGGCGCCCCCCCCTGGCCTCTTGGAGGAGAAGGAGGAGAGAAGGAGGAGGAGCAAAGGTCAGGGCTCGCGGAGAAGGAGGAGGAAAAGGAGGACGGGAGGAGGAGGAGCAAAGGGCAGGGCTTGCGGAGGAGGAGGAGGAGGAGGAGGAGGAGGAGGAGGAGGAGGAGCAAAGGGCAGGGCTCGCGGAGAAGGAGGAGGAGGAGGAGGAGGTGGAGGAGGAGGAGGAGGAGCCCTCCTGCCTTGTGAGAGGGCTTCTGAGAGGCCCGTGGGAAGGGGCCAATCCACTCGAAGAAGCCCCTTTCGGGCAGCCATATTCGAAGAAGCCCCCTTCAGGCAGCCACACGTAGACCCTACCCCTGCAGGTCAGATTTCGGAAACACGGGCAGGGGGTCAGACTCTGAAGGACGTCTGCGGCCAAGTGAGCCCAAGCGGCGGAGTCCGCTACCCCCCGTCGATGAGACCCGCAGGGCTAGGGCTCGCAGGTAGTCATAGACCCCTGCATGTTTTGAAGAACGCTCCCCTCCAGACCCCCTCGCTAACCCCGCCCACAATCCTCCTTCTCCGCCTCTCCGGCGTCACCTGCGCCGCCGCCGTCGCCGTCGCCGCCGTCGCCGTCGCCGTCGATGTCGCCGTCCGCCGCCGCAGCCGCCGCAGTCGTCGTCGACGTCGTCGTGATCGGTCCGGGTCGGTCGCGGTCGCCGTCGCCCCCCCTGCCCCACCCCCAGGCCAAAATCCGGCCAAGACCGAGCCCCAAGCCCTTCCCAGGGTCCGTCCTGGCTAATTTTCTGAGCGCCTCCAACCGCGACCAGCACCTTCAGTGACGCCCAGAAGACCTGCAACGACGACGGCGACGTCGACGTCGTTCATGGCGCCTGCCTTCTCAGAAGGCGGCCATCCCCTCACCCCGCCACCATCTGCCCTGGCATCCGACGAGGTGTCTTTCGATCCGCAGCCCCAGAGCTCCCAACCCCTTTCCCGGGGGCCGGCTTCTCGTCCCAGACCTGTTCCTGATGGCCCTGGAGCTCGATGACGGGCCCCAGAAGCCGCAAAACCAGGACAAAACGCCCAGATCGGGAGAACCATATTTTCATTCATAGTTATATATATGTATATACATATATACCTATACGACCACCCTTCGGGTGATAAGGAGGTTCGGGGGGGGGGAACCAACGTCTCACTCGATCGGTCTCACTATCGATCTCAGTGTCGATCTCACTATCAGTCTCGCTCGATCGATCTCACTCGATCGATCGCACAATCGCTCTCACTCGATCTATCTCATTCGATCGATCTCACAATCGATCTCACAATCGATCACACAATCGATCACACAATCGATCTCACATTCGGTCTCAATATCGATCTCACTATCGATATCACAATCGCTCTCACAATCAACGTCATCATCATCATCATCATCATCATCATCATCATCATCATCAACATCATCAACACCAACATCATCACAAAACATCGTCATCATCATGAGGGCACCGTCATCATCATCATCATCATCATCATAAACATCATCATCAACGTCAGCATCATCATCGGGACAACATCATCAGCATCAACATCATCATCTCATCATCAACATTATCATCATGGGGGCACAGTCATCACCATCATCATCAGCAGCATCATCATAAGCATCATCATAATCGGGACACCATCATGATCACCATCGTTCTCATCATCAGCATTATCATCAACATCGTCATCATCCTCGGGACACCATCATCATCACGATCATCGCATCATCATCATCGACATCATCATCAACAACATCATCATCATTGGGGCACCATCATCATCATGAGCAACATCATCATCAACATCGTCATCATCATTATTATCATCATCGGGACACCATCAGCATCACCATCATCATCAACATCATCATCGGGACACCATAATCATCATCATTAACACCATCATCATCAACAACATTATCGCCGGGACACCATTTCCATCAACATCATCATCACCAACATCATCGGAATCATCATCATCATCATCGAGACACCATCATCGTCATCATCATCAACATAATCATCATGATCATCATCATCCTCATCATCGGGACACTATTATCATCATCATCATCGACACCATCATCAACATCATCATCATCTTCATCGGGATACCATCATCATCTAATCATCATCATCATGATCATCATCATCATCATCATCATCATCATCATTATCATCATCATCATTATCATCATCATCATCATCATCATCATCATCATCATCATCATCTCATCATCATCATCTCATCATCATCATCCTCGCGGGACACCGGCGGGACACCGCGGGACACCGCGGGACACCGCGGGACACCGGCGGGACACCGCGGGGCCCCCGGCCGCCCGGAAGGGAGTCATTTGGTCCGGCCGCGCCTCAGCCACACGGGACACCAGCGGGACACCGGCGGGACACCGCGGGCCCCCGGCCGCCCGGAAGGGAGACACTTGGTCCGGCCGCGCCTCAGCCACAGGAGACTTTCTCTCGCCCGCCCAAGCAGCTTCGCCTCGCCCGCACGCACGAACACGAAACCGAAATCGATTTCCCGGTAGGGGGGCTCTCCGTTCCACTTCGATCTCACCCCCTCACCTCCGATATGTGTAAACACGTGTAGAAGGGAAATAAAACAAACAAGCAAGCAAACAAACAAGCAAACAAACAACGTGGGTATGGATCTGCGAGCCCGCTCGCGCCTGCCAGGCCGCCGAAATCCCTGTAGATGCGGTAGTCCGTGTCGCCCGGGATGATGCCCGTCTGGAACAGCACCTGCGTGATCGAGGAGCCGTGCGGTCGCCTCTGCACACTGGGGCGAGGGCTGCACACCGGCCCCGGCCCTGGCAACTTGGCCCTGGCCGGGCGCCGTGCCGGCGCCCTCCTGGCAAGGGGGCCCAGGGCCGGCCTGGCCAGGATCGGCGTGGCGTATGTCGCAGGAGCTCGGCCACGAGAAGCCTTCCAGGAACTCAACTCTGAGACCCTGGGACGCCCACGGGTTTTTGGTGTGGGAGCGTCACGCGGTCCGCAGCAGAACCATCGAACCGTCGACTGAAAGCCGGGCACGGCAGAGGGGGGCTTCGCGAGCCAGCCGCATGCAGCTGTGGTTTCCCCCCGGCGCCGAGAGAGCATCGTGCATCGAGAGGAGACTGTCAGGCGGCGGAGCCGAAGCCAGCTGCACGCTGCAAATTCTGGACCCCGCCCCCACCGCTCGGGGGCGGCCAAGGAGGTGGGCGTCCAAGAGGGGGGGCGCAAGTCATGGCCAGCGGCGCGTGCGCGGCACAGGGAGGGGGAGGCCGGGGACGCATTGAAATAAGAGGAGGCGCCAAGAAATCTGGCGAGATGTCACGGCCCCCCCCCCCCCCCATGGATATCCACACACCCCTAGTGATCACCGCCCTCTTTGCCGCCCCGCCCCCCCGCCCTTCCCCATGCCCGCTCGCTCTGGAGAGAGAGAGAGAGGGGGCCCCCAGACACGCTCGCGTCTTGCAGGATTCGGGACAGAGGTTCTATTTGTCGTTCTCGGCCTGTGGGAGCCCTCGCTGGCCCCCCCCCGAGGACTGGCAACAAACGGCGCAGGATGGAAAACTGGTCCTGGGGAAAGGGTCGGGTGAAACTCCCTTCGTGCGCCGTCGTCGCAGCCGTCGTCGTCGATGTCGTCGTCGTCGTCGTCGTCGTCGTCGTCGTCGTCGTCGTCGTCGTCGTCGTCGGCGTCGGCGTCGTAGTCGTCCCCAGGTCGCCCGACACGATTCTGAGAGCCCCCCCCTGCCCTCTCTGAGGAGGCCGCCCCCCCCAACCTCCCCTCGCGCCACCCCTCTTCCTCCTCCTCCCCTCCTCCCCCTCCTCCTCCTCCTCCCCCCCCCTCCTCCCCCTCCTCCTCCCCCTCCTCCTCCTCCTCCCCCTCCTCCAGTATCCTCCTCCTCCTCCTCCCCCTCCTCCAGTATCCTCCTCCTCCTCCTCCTCCTCCTCCTCCTCCTCCTCCTCCTCCCCTCCTCCTCCTCCTCCCCCTCCTCCCCCTCCTCCTCCCCTCCTCCTCCTCCTCCTCCTCCTCCTCCTCCTCCTCCTCCTCCTCCTCCTCCCCTCCTCCTCCTCCCCCTCCTCCCCTCCTCCTCCTCCTCCTCCTCCTCCTCCTCCTCCTCCTCCTCCTCCTCCTCCTCCTCCTCCTCCTCCTCCTGCTCCCTCTCTGCGCCGCCGAGCCTCACGCCGCAGGCGTAGGCGTCCACCACCCAGCGGTTCTGCGGCCCAGCCTGGAAGGCGGGGGGCGGACGGGAAGGGTTACCCGCCAGTTGGAAGACGTAGGTGACTACCTACCAGACCACCCCAACCCAACCCGAAGACCCCAATTTCGGGTTGGGGGGGGTGCGGGTTGCATATGTGTTTTTTCGATGCTCCCCGACCCCCCCCCCAACTGGAAATGGAGGGCAAATCTGAGCCTTCGGGTTGGGTTGGGGTGGTTTGGTGGGTGGTGAGTAGGTGGGAACATGAAGTCGGACGGCGGACAAAGTAGATAGTGTCTCGGGCCCGCCGAAAGAATAGCAAGCAACAACAACAACAACAGCAACAACAACAACAACAACAACAACAACAACAGCAACAACAACACCACCACCAACAACAACAATACCAACAACAACAACAACAACAACAACAACAACAATCATTTAAGACTGGGGACACTCCGTTCTCACCAGTGCCAGGGTTTTCATAGGAGGCGGGCAATACCCCCACTTTGTGGGGGGGCCGGTTCAAGCTCTACCAAATTTCCAAACGACTCTTCGCCACCACCCACACCCAGCTTCCCGCCCTATGACGTTCGGACACTTCACTTCGTGGCATGCGGACGACCGTGGCTACTATTCAGGGCCCCGCGGCCGACGACGACGGCGTGCGCGCGCGAAGAAAAAACGAATGTGTCCCGCATGGTATTATTTGACAGGGATGATGGCCCTGACATGCGCGCAACCGTGGTTGCAGAAGTTCGAAGCACGTGAAAAAGTTGCTCGCAAGAGCCCGTTTGACAGAAATGTTGAAAAAATATTGGGTTTCCTCAGAAATCCGCAAGAGCGCGCAAGATGAATGTTTGAAGCTTTTTTTTGAAAAACCATTGGGTTTTTCATGTTTTTATGTTAAAATCGCTACGAAAACTAAGGTTTTGGAAGGATTTCATCTTGCGCGCGCGAGTGTGCACTTCGTGTCATTTGTTTCAAAGGATTCTTGAAGTTTGGTTATGTTAGAACAAGAAATTTCATTTTATAGTGTTTTTTGCAAGGGAAAGCGGGCGTCAACAAAACAACCGGATCTGGATGACATCGTTTTACCTGAGACTTCCTCACGAAAATGATGAAAATGTGGCTGCGGCCTAGGCGCGGGGGGGGGGCGTGCACCAGGGGGCCCAACAATAATTATTCTTTAGAATTAATAATGTTCAACAACAGCAACAGCAACAACAGCAACAACAACAACAACAAACAACAACAACAACAACAACAACAACAACAACAACAACACAAACAAACACATGTCGAACTTCAGTCGATTTGGGTCGACCCTGAGTCGAACCTGAGTCGAACCTGAGTCGAACCTGAGTCGAACTTGAGTCGAACTTGAGTCGAACTTGAGTCGAACTGGGGTCGAACAGATCTGTTTGGTGGGCTCCAGGAAGGTCCCCGAAACGAGCATCGAAGGGAAGGGTTACCCGCCAGTTGGAAGACGTAGGTGGGAACATGAAGTCGGACGGCGGACAAAGCAAATATTGTCTCGGGCCCGCCGAAAGAATAACAAGCAAGTTCTGCGGCCCGGCCTGGAAGGCGGGGGCGGACGGGAAGGGTTACCCGCCCGTTGGAAGACGTAGGTGGGAACATGAAGTCGGACGGCTGACAAAGTAGATATTGTCTCGGGCCCGCCGAAAGAATAGCTAGCAACAACAACAACAACAACAACAATTACTAGCACGTGGGGACACACCGTTCTCACCAGTGCCAGGGTTTTCATAGGAGGCGGGCAATACCCCCACTTTGTGGGGGGGCCGGTTCAAGCTCTACCAAATTTCCAAACGACTCTTCGCCACCACCCACACCCAGCTTCCCGCCCTATGACGTTCGGACACTTCACTTCGTGGCATGCGGACGACCGTGGCTACTATTCAGGGCCCCGCGGCCGACGACGACGGCGTGCGCGCGCGAAGAAAAAACGAATGTGTCCCGCATGGTATTATTTGACAGGGATGATGGCCCTGGCAGGTGCGCAACCGTTGTTGCAGAAGTTCGAAAAAGTTGCTCGCAAAAGCCCGTTTGACAGAAATGATTAAAAAGTGTTGGGTTTCCTACGAATCCGCAAGAGCGCGCGGGATGAAATTTTGACATTTTTTTTTGAAAAACCATTGGTTTTTGATGTTTGTATGTTAAAATCGCTACGAAAACTAAGGTTTTGGAAGGATTTCGTCTTGCGCGCGCGAATGTCCACTTTACCTTTTTTTTTGCAAGGGATTCTTGAAGTTTGGTTATGTTAGAACAAGAAATGTCCACTTTAGCTTATTTTTTGCAAGGGAAAACCGATCGTAACAACACAACCGGATCTGGATCACATCGTTTTGCCTGAGACTTCCTCACGAAAATGATGAAAATGTGGCTGCGGCCTAGGCGCGGCGGGGGGGCCGTGCACCAGGGGTCCCAACAATAATTATTCTTTAGAAGAAATAATGTTCAACAACAACAACAACAACAACAGCATCGCCCTTATATGCTCGAGTGACCAATAACGCGTATTTCCCAAACCCTCGATACCCGCCCTCTTCGTCTTCGATCGAACCCCTTTTGGGGGGTATACCTTTCTTCCCTGCAGCCCGGGCCCCGGCAAGCGGCGGGGCGGCCGCGGACCGTCGGCCTGGCCAGCGGCAGCGCTGATCGGCGGGGCGGCCGCGGACCGTCGACCCGACCCCGAAGAGGGACGGACAGGGGACCGACCACGACGACGACGACGACGACGACGTCGAAAACGACGGCGACGACGAGCGAAAGCGAGAGCGAGAGAGAACGACAGCAGGGCCACGAAGGGCACGAAGTAGGCCACGAAGGGCGACAGCGGGGACACGAAGGGAATGCGTATGGGGCCACGAAGAGTGCGAACGAGCGGGGGCCACGAAGTGCAGATAATGCGGGGCCACAGAAGGCAACTATGGGGCCACTGAGGGTAGCAGCCGGGTCACGTAGGACAATGAGGGGGACACAAATGGCGACAGCGGGGCCACGAAGGGCATGCACATGGGGCCACAACGGGCGCGACTCCTGGGTGCCTGGGTGTCGGGAGCGCGACGCTTGGGCATATTGTGGGAAATTCCAACGCAAGGCTATTCTTCAGTAAGTTGCAAGCAAGTCTCCAGCGAGAGCGCGACTCCAGGGCTCCGGGAGAGCGATTCCTGAATAAATTGTAAGGAAGTCCCAAGCAAAAGCGCGATTCCTTGATAAAATGCGAGGAAGTCTCGGGCGAGAGCGGGGGTCCTGCCTAAATTGTAAGGAAGTCTTAGGCGGGAGCCGTTGTTGTTGTAACCCGGGGGCCAGGGGCCCAGTTTGAGCAGGAAGACTTTCCCTGACAAAAAACAGGGTGCGAGCGTCGAGGGGCACACTTTGATTGAGAAAAAACAGTATGCACCGGTGGGGGGGGATCAACAACAACAACAACAACAACAACAACAACAACAACAACAACAACAACAACAACAAACAAACACATGTCGGCTCTTGAAGTGGGAAGGCGCTTGAAGTAGATTGGAAACTGGGAATCCAAAAGTGCATAGTTTCAACGACTCGGCATGTTTTCAAGGTGCAGGGGGACGAGGGGAAAAGCCGAGGCAGGCCCGAAATGCACCGAATCGCGAAATCGGATCGAAGGTCGAATCGCCAGCGAATCGTCCCGAACCGAAACGGCATCGGATCGCCGCGCCCCGCTGCGGAGGGCCCCAAACAGCACCGGCGCATCGAGCCGAGTCGAGTCGAATCGAAGCGCAGACGAATCGAGCCGAATCGAATCGAATCGGCATCGCGGCCCCAGACGGCGAATCGAATCGCATCGAATCGGACCGCAGGCGGCCCCGTCAGGCGGGGGTGCCTCGCATCTGTTCGGCTTCTGCGGGCCGTCTTCGGGACCGCGGGACCGCCAAGGAGCGACGCGGGACGAGGAACAGCTTCCCGGGAAGGGGCTCGGAGCTCATGGGGGCCCCACAGTGTGAAAAAAACATGGCATCAGCCCCTGGAGAGGGACAGACCGAAGCCTACGACGCCGCGACTGCTTCACGTCGTGGGCGCCCAGAGGTCTGGGACATGTCCCCCCCGGGTCCGGCTCCCCGTTCCGAAGCTGGTTGGCGGCCCCCGGGCCCAGAGAGGGTCCCTGAAGGCAGAAAAGGGGCAGAAATGGTGTCGTGAGAGGAGGTCTGGGCTTGGGAGGGCTCCTCTCCTCCTCTCCTCCTCTCCTCCTCTCCTCCTCTCCTCCTCCTCCTTTCCGAGAGATATGGGGGCTGCCCAGCGGTGGTGTGCGGCATGGCCTGGAAGAGCAGCTCGCGGCCCCCCGAGCCCGCGGACTCCAGGTTGACGACGCCGCAGAGCTCGGATGCCCAGGGGTGGGACGTTATGAAGCCGTGAGCCGCGGGCATGAGCATCTCCTGTTCACCGACAACGTCGTAGTCATCAATCGCCATCGTCGTCAGCAGCACCCCCAACAGAACCGCACCCGCCAGTCATCACTTCGTTCCCCGTCGTCGTCGTCGTCGTCGTCGTCGTCGGTGTCGTCGTCGTCGTCGTAGTTGTCGTCGTCATCATTGTGTTTCCACATCGTCGTCGCAAATCGCCGTCGTCACATTCCGCATCATCCACATGTTAGCCAGCGTGGACCCCACACAGTGTTCTAGAATATTACATGGTGCAACATACGTGGTGCAGTTCACCATGCCGACCTTGAAGTTGTCAACCCCACTGCTCGCACAACTTGGCTTGCAAAACCCATGCGGCGGCGATTGCGGTGACTGCTTGGCACTGGCTGGCACATCGCTGTGGCCGCGCCAGCGCGCGCAGACTCTCACGCAAAGCGGCCAACTAGTCTGGCGCGACCAACGCGGCCGCGGTGGCGCTGACCGCTGGGCACTTCCCGGCGCGTGTCGTAGGCCGCGCCGACGCGCGGGCACTTCAATGCGAGTCGGTGGCTCGGGCGGGCGCGGAATCATGGCGACGTTGGCAGCGGCAGACACAATGACGTAGCTATGCTGGTGACAATGACGACGGCAAGGCCAATGACGGCGCCTTTGCTGATCACGCCGATGACGATGATGGTGTCAAAGTGTCAGCGATGATGGGCGAGGAGGGAGTTCGACATGCGCGCGCGGCCGACACACGCGAGTGGCCCGCAATGTTTTATTTGACAGAGATCGTATCCCCCCCCCGCCCAAGCACGCGCGCAAGGGCGTTCGAATGATTTCGGCATGCGCGCGCAAGAGGCCCCACCGGTCACATTTGATCAAGATGATGAGCAACCTAGGATTGTCCTATATATTCGCAAGAGCGCGCGCAGACTATGTTGAAAGCCCGTGATGCTAAACAATTGTGTTTATATGTGGTCGGGACACTAGATTGCAAAACCCTTACGAAACCGAAGTGTCCAACCATCCTGTGGTGTTGGGTCCTCGTTGTGAAGAGACAGCGCCCCGCGTCACTCCTTCTCCTCCCGCTGCCCCCTCCCTCATCGTCCCAACCTCGTTTCGGCACACACGCTTCGTGGCCCCATAGGGAGCTCCACCTAAAGTCCAAGTGGCGCGGTTCGCATGTGGGCGTCACCCCCGTTTCGGCACACCCCTCCCACGTTTCGTGGTCCCATGGGGAGCTCCAATGGCACGGTTCGCATGTGGGCGTCACACCCGTTTCGGCACACCCCTCACACGCTTCGTGGCCCCAAGGGGAGCTCCACATAGGGCCCCAGAGGCAGAGATCGCATATGGGCGTCGCCCCCGTTTCGGAACGCCCGTCACACGCTTCGTAGCCCAATAAGTGGCTCCCCAAGTGGCACAAATCACATGTGGGCGTCACACCCGTTTCGGAACACCCCTCACACGTTTCGTGGCCCCATAGGGAGCTCTACCTAAGGTACCAGTGGCGCAGTTCGCGTGTGGGCGCCACCCCCGTCGCGGCACACCTCCCACACGCTTCGTGGCCCCATAAGGAGCTCCACCAAAGGCCCCAGTGGCGCAGTTTGCATATAGGCGTCGCCCGTTTCGGAACGCCCCTCACACGCTTCGTGGCCCCAGAAGGGGCTCCACCTTAGGGCCCCAAAACACAGATCGCACGTGGGCGTCACACCCGTTTCGGAACACCCCTCACACGTTTCGTGGCCCCAAGGGGAGCTCCACCTAGGGCCCCAGTGGCAAAGATCGCATGTAGGCGTCACACCCCGTGCGGAACACCACTCACACGTTTCGTCGCTCCATAAGGGGGCTCCCTCTAAGGCCCCAGTGGCACAGATCGCGTGTGGGCGTCACACCCGTTTCGGAACACCCCTCACACTTTCGTGGCCCCATAGGGAGCTCCACCTAAGGTCCTGTGGCGCAGTTCGCATGTGGGCTTCACCCCTGTCTCAGCACACCTCCCACACGCTTCGTGGCCCCATAGGGAGCTCCACTAAGGCTCCAGTGGCACGGTTCGCATGAGGTGGCACACCCCCTCACACGTTTCGTGGCCTCATAGGGAGCTCCACCTAAGGTCTCAGTGGCGCAGCTCGCCTGTGGACGTCATCCCCGTTCCGGCACACCCCATCACACAATTCCGTGGCCCCATAAAAAAGAGGCTCTACCTCAGGCCCCGGTGGCAGCGCCCGCATGGCGGCCCCGCCCCATTTCGGCACGCCCTTCACGCGCTTCGTGGCCTCATAAGGAGGTCCACCGAAAGCGATGCCCACAACTACGGTATTCACAACTGCATATGGTTGAGTCTTTCACCGGGATAGTTGTTGACGGATTGCGGCCTGCGCGCACGCGACGACGCGCGCGTTTGTTACACAGGGATGTGTGATAAACCAGCGCGTGCGAGATACATTTTCTTACACGAGGATGAAAGGGGGTGTCGATACTGGCATGGCTGGGATGGTATGAACTCAATTTTAGAAAGAACGATGGGGCATGATCATATGTAAACTGCCCATCCCCAGGGGGCACGGATAAATCTGGCCTCGGAAACGTGGTGGGCCCTAATTCGCGCTGAGAATGGAGAATACATGTGGTGTAAGCTATGAGGTCCAATTAATTTCTGTTCGCAGTGAGTTGTCCACTCCACTGCTCGCGCAAACATCCCACCCACCCACCCGCAACTTGGTTTGCAGAATCTCTTAAGACCGTGACGGTGGGTACCAAATGGCACTTGGCAACGACAGCGACGCCGACGACGACGACGCCGCCGCCGACAACGACTACGACAACACCGACGACGTCTCCAACGACTTCGACGACGCCGACGACGACGACGACGACGACACCGACGACGACGACGCCGACGCCGACGACGACGACGACGACGATGACAACGACGACGACGATGACGACGCCGACGACGACGACAACAACGACACCGACGACGACGACGACGTCAACGACGCCGACGACGACGACGACAACGACGATGACGGCGGCGGCGACGACGACGCCGACGTCGACGACGACGAAGACGACGACGACGCCGACGCCAACGACGACGACGAAGACGACGACGAGGGAGGAGGGAGGATGACGACGGCGACAACGACAACGACGACAACGACGAGGGAGGAGGGAGGACGGCGACGACGCGAGCGACGAAGAAGGAGGAAGGACGTCGACACCGACAACGACAACGACGAGGGAGGAGGGAAGACGACGACGACGACAACGACGACGACGACGACGACGACGACGGCGACGAAATAGGAGGGACGACGAGGAGACGCCGACGACGGACGACGACGACGACGAGGGAGGAGGGACGACCACGGCGACAACGACGACGGAAACGACCACGACGCCAAAGAGGACGACGACGACGAACACGAGGAAAGACAGAGGACGACGTAGGCGACGACGACGACGACGACGCGGGAGGAGGGAGGACGGCGACAACGACGACGACGACGACGACGACGACGCAAGAGCGCGCGCGCACGCGTTTGTAGAAAATCCGTGTTGCGAAACATTGTGTTTTTGTAGGTTTCTTGGACACACGATGTTGAGATCCTTCCGAAGCCGACGGGTTTCGAAGGATTTCGGCATACGCGCGCATGTTTTGCAGAGGGTTCTCGCGACGGCACACGCGCAAGGGCGTTCGACAGATTTCGACATGCGCGCGCGAAGCCCGTTTGGTAGCATGTTGTGAACGTCTTGAAAAACCTATGGTTTTCTTAAGATTTCGCAAGAGCTCGCGCGTCAGTTTTTTTAGCAAATCAGTGTTGCGAAACCCTATGTGTTTGTATGTTTTTTGGAAACTCGATGGCGAAATTCTTCCGACACCGAGAGTTTTGGAAGGATTTCGGCATGCGCGCGCGACCACCCGCGCGTGTGCACTTCGTCCCATGTTCTGCAAGGGATTCGCGAAAAAGTCTTATGTTAGAACAAAAGATGACCCCGCGTATTGTTTTTTACAAGGGACCCTCAGGGGGGTCGATCCCGGCCCCCCTGGGATAGTGTAAATTCACATTTAGGATGGACATGTGGTCAGAATCACATAAGATTTACATACCCGAAAGGGGGGCGGATAACGCCGGCAGGGGGGGAATCTACGTGGCGCAAGTGATGTGTAAGCTATGTGCTACAGCCCATGCGGTTTGCAGCCTGAGTAGTGCAACCTAGGAAATGAGATACGTGTATCTATATATATCTATATACATATATATAGATATATATATATATATATATATATATATATATATGGTGTAAGCTACGTGGTGGATGCTGTGTAGTGAAAGTTATGTGGTGCAGGCTATGTGGTGCAGGCTTTGTGGTACAACATATGTGGTGCCATGTATACGGTGCATTGTGTGTGTGGAGCATTGTGTGTGGTGTGAGATATGTGGTGCACTTTGTTTGAAGAAATATGCGTTGTGTAAGGAATGTGGTGCGGTGTAAACTACGCACTGGAATCTATATGGTGCAATCTATGTGGTGAAATTCACTTTGACCGTCTTGAAGCTGTCCTCTCTACTGCTCGTGCAAACATCCCACCCTCCCACCCGCAACTTGGTTGCAAGACTTCTTACGACAAGACCGTGACGGTAGGTACCACATGGCACTTGGCCACGACACCGACGCCGACGACGACAGCGACAACGACGACGACGGCGCCGCCGACACCGACTACGACGACACCGCCGACGTCGACGTCGACGAAGACGACGCCGACGCCGACGCCGACGACGACGACGAAGGCGACGACGACGACGTCGCCAACGAAGACGACGACGAGGGAGGAGGGAGGAAGGACGACGGCGACAACGACGACAACGACGATGGAGGAGGGAGGACGGCGACGACGCGAACGACGAAGAAGGAGGAAGGACGGCGACGCCGACGACGACAACGACGAGGGAGGAGGGAAGACGACGACGACGACAACGACGACGAAGACGACGACGACGGCGACGAAATGAGAGGGACGA